GGCTTTTTTCTTTTTGCTTATGTGGTGCTGAGGAATCGAACCCAGGGCCTCATGCATGCAAGGCAAGCGCTCTACCATTGAGCCACCTTCCCAGCCTGATGAACATTTTTTAAAGGAGAAATTAAACTTTATTTCAACTTTGAATTCCAAATAGTCATAGAATCATGATATTAAGGAACTGAAATGAAGCAAAGAAACTACAGAGGCTCTCTTGCTGTATACCTTTACCAGATGCTAAAGTTGCACTATAAGAAATAGGGCCACATGGTGGTGCTATTGTGCCATATGAACATTGCTGTTGTAGCAAAAACAAATAGTTGTGTTATTTGTTTTAAAACCAGGTAACATTGTCACTTATGTGTACTGAAAAGACTGACACAGCAGTGTTGATGTAATATTTTCATTATATAGTTATAGGTTATAAACTGGAAATTTCTTCGGGAGAAAGCTTTTTGCTAAGAATTTAAAATATGGCCAAGTTACGTATAAAGACTGTAAGATAATGAAAAATATTAGAATAAAAATAAACATCCTAAGCAACCAGTATTGCTTTTATGAATAATTTTGATTTATTTTAGGCCAATATCTTTTGTGTGTGTGCGTGTGCTGGTACTGGACTTGAACTCAGGACCTTGTCCTCTTGCTTGGCTTTTTTGCTCAAGGCTGATCCCACTCTTACACTTCCTGGAATGGCTTTGAACCTTGATCTTCAGATTTCAGTCTCCTGAATAGCTAGGATTTTAGGCATGAGCCATTGGCACTCAGCATTAAATGTTTTTCTTAAAAGTTGAATTATAGGTAGACTATGATTCAAACAAGTAATAGCTCAGTAATATATATGTTTCCAGAAATATCAGGCATCCTTGTTTGGGATCCTATATTTTCTAACCAAGAAAGAAAACAGATAAATATTTTCTTGTTATCCAAGAAGTAAGAAATATTTGAAAATAACAAGTCTAGGAATTTAGTCACTTCCTGTGAAGTAAGAAGACATTTCTAAACATTTTATTGTTTTCCCACAAAAGTTTGCCTGTATGAGATGATTAGAGTCACCTCTGCATGTGTGTGCTGGATTTGTTTCCTCTAAAGTAAGAAACGCAACCAGAATTTATTGTTTTTCTAAAGCTTAAAAAGTTCATTTAAAATGAAATGCTTATAATGAGTTAAGTTGCAATGTGAACACTAGATTAATATTTCCCCTAATTTCCTTTTATGAAAGCTTTGCTAAAGTAATTCATTGTGTAAAAAAGAATCCTAAGAAACAAACAGTAATTCAGTTTTCTTACTCATCTAGTGAAGATAGTTTTTTGTTTTTGCTTTTGTTGTTTAGTTTCAGTGAGGATGAAGAATTGCAATAATTCAGTAAATTTAGTAAATATAAGTATTATGCATCTCATATTGTAGCACTAATGTGCATAACAGGAGACAAATAAACATGAATTAGTTCTTTTCTCTAAGCTTAGTTCTTTAAGAACATCTACTAAGAAATATCTGATTAACCTAGTTTAATTGGCACATGCACTTACACATAATCAATCAACTGGGCTTTTAAAAAATCACTCAGTTATTCACATATTTTAAATTAGCTTTCTTTACTGTGTTAAAGAAGTTTTAAACTGTTAATTAATTGATAGACTTGAATTGAAGAAATCACAAAATTAAGAATTTTGAGCACAACCAAATTAGACTCATCATATTGGAAAGAGCACACAATCTGAACTCCCTACAAACTGAGATATAGAGTAAAAATGTATCAGGGTTGTGAATCATGATCTATCTCAAATTTGCTCTTGTTGAACTTGTATTGTTTTTAGCATTGGAAGTAATGTTTAGAAGATTATCTACTTAAAATCTTCCAGGGCTCATCGTGATTCTGGGGCATCCTGAAAGGATGTTATTCACAATTCCTTTTTAAATTTTCTTGTACTTTCAAAAATAGGACAGCTGTTTTCCTTTTTTAAGAACCCCAAATAACAATTTGTATATTTTGCCTTTATTTAGTTCACTCAAAAGATTAGAAATTTGAACCTTAGCCATAAATTTCTAATCTTAGCCATATGATTGATAGAAATTGACTTCACAGGCCCCTCTAATTCAATATTCCAAAAAGTAAGTAACTAAAGATGTTAAATTAAGCTTAGTTTGAGATGAACTATAGACTCAAATTTTGGAACTTTTATAGAAAACTTTTATAGGAAGTTTTAAAGAATGCACTGTGTCAAGATGGTTGACAAAAGGAAACTGTTGACCTGTCAGTCCTGCAGAACAGGAGGCCAGTTTCCTGGCCACACAGCACATCGGCCTCATCTGCTTACATCCAATACCTGAGAACCTGCTAGGATATTCAGAAAGGGGAAGAAGAGGAAGGAAGAAAACCTGTGCACAAATGTTTGTAGAAGCTTAAATGTAAGAACTGGAGACAGCCAGATGTCCTCCAGTAAGTAAACTTTTAAACAGCGAACATCCATGTGATGCATTACTACCCAGAAATAGAAAGGGACAAATAATTGATCTAAAAGCCTGGATGAATCTCTGAAGAGTTGTGCTGAATGGAACAGGCCAATCCTTTGCAAAGGCTGTGGTTAGGGTACCAAATTTTCTATTTATGCATCATTCTTGAAGTGCCAGAACTAGAGAAATAGAAGACAGAGTAATGATTTCAGGGGTTGGGCAAGGGTAAGAGGCAAGTAGAGCAGCTGTGACAGAAATGTCCTGTATCTTCACTGTGTCCGTGTCAGGATCCTGACTGTGATGTTGTACTAGAAATTTGCAACATGTTACCATTTGGAGGAAACTAAGTAAAGTCCTCAGGACCTTTCTATATTTTATCTTACATGTGAATCTACAGTGATCTAAAGAAATAAAAGGTTCACATGATATTCAGTATATACTCTGTGCAAATGAACTGTATAATTTGTGGATAGAGACAGAGGGGAAAACTGGAAAGCAAAGGAAGGGCTGACATTGTCCAAAAATGAACTGTACTCATTACTTGACTTATTAAATGGTTACCTACTCTATGCAACACCTTAATAACAAATTATATTAAATAAATAAATGGTTTACTTAAAAATCTCTAGTTCTTTTTATCCCTTGAACAATAGTTAATACACATTCTGAGTTTTATTTACTTCATGACTTGGGAAAGTTTAGGTTTTTAGTGATCAAGATCTGATGGAGGTTGTGGAAATTTCTTTTGACTTGGTTTCTAATTTAGTCTAATGCATTTGTATAATATTAAATAAGAAGGAATTACAGAATTCTGTAATTTGATCAAGTGTGTTTTGTGACCAGGCCTCTGCATATCAAAAGAAAAGGGCAGAAGCATAGTTTTTCTTGTGGAAAGCAGAACATTAGGAATACGTCATTATTAGGAATACATGGGGATATAACTATATGGTATCCGTACTCTTATATCCAAATACAAAGGAGAGCTTTTCATTATGTGAATTCTGTTGGCCTTCACATAACCCCTTCGCTCTCTTTTTAACATTGAAATTGAGGCCATTTCATGTTGCCCTAGTTGTAAAGACTCGCTATGGTAGTCAGGGTAAGAGGTGGACAAGGACTCTGCTTTAGATAAACTCAGAATATTTGTCCAAGAACATTGAACTTAGAGAATCCGTGATGAGAAGTTTATCTAGATTGCTGTTACAGAACCAGGAAACCAGGAGGCAGCTGAGGAGAGGTGTTTTGTGTGCCATCACGTCTTTGCCATAGGCACTGGTTCAGTTGTGGGCATAGACCTTAACATCCAGTGTCTCAGCCACCCCCCCCCAGCCCAGGTCCAGTGTAGCCCCAAAGCTCCCTAGGGTGCCTCATAATGTGCCAGTAGTCATTTCCCTATGTAAACTAAATGTATTTGATAACTGACAACGAATGACCAATAAAAGGTCAACATGCATCTCAACCTGACCGTGAATTTTAGAGTTTGTGCTTTATATCCCACTCCTTAGCATGGCACATTTGAGGCGGGCACACAGTAAATGTTTGTTTAATGACTTAGTGTTGCTTTGTTGTGACTCATGCTTCCTGGTGTGACCTCTTTGCACAGTGCCTCCAGACAAGAGTCGAGTGGGTGTGCAGGGTGTTCTTGTGGTCTCCAGGGCATAAAGGGCCAACCCACGTGGGCCCCATAGATGCGTGAGCCCGTGGTGACAGACACACTGTGTAGGAGTGACACAGGCGAGGTAGAGAAAACTACAACTAGATTGGGCCTGATTTTCTTCCACACTGAAAAGATAGGGGAGAGATTTAAGTATTTGTGTCCCAGACAGATTAGAAACATTTTTATTTAAACAAATCCTGTTTTGTTTTAATATAAGTTATGGCTGATTTTGGCATCAACCCTCCTCATTTTTGTCTTTCCTTTTCTTTGTCTTTCCTTCCTTCTTCCCTCTCCCTCTCCCTCTCCCCATCTCCCTCCCCTTCTCTTTTCCTCTCCCTCCTTCCATTATTTGCCAACACTGGACTCATGGCCTTGTACTCTTGCTTGGCTTTTTCACACATGGCCAGTTCTCTACAACTTGAGCCATGCCTCCAATTCCCAGTATTTTATTTCTAAAAATGCTTTTGTGAGAGGCTGGGGGTGTGATTCCATAGTAAAGCACTTGAATAGCATGTGGAAGGCCCTGGATTTGATCTCTACCACTGAATAAATAAATACAATAAAATGCTTTTGTAGACTAATTTGGCGGCTGGCCTCCATGTATCTTGTGAAGAATTATGCATTGGGAATTCCAAACAGTGACTGAAAATGATCTTCAGAGCCTTGTTTGTTCCTTACTGGTGGCACATAATTTGGCTCTTTACTTCCCTCCTGCTGCTCCTGCTTTGCCATTTGTGGCTCATATCAAGCCTTCTGCTCTCTTCACCATCACAAGTCGCTGCCTTGGCCTAGGTGTCTAGAGACCGCGCACAGGCCCCACTGGCCTGTGTAACAGCTCGTTCTTTATGCCACACCTTAGTTGTAACTGATTTTTTTTTAATTGTAGATCCTTGCTGGTACATTACTGGATATTTTTGTTGCACCTTGTTAAGTATTGAACTAGCTGGCTGAGTGACCACTGAAGTGCAAAGATCTAATCTTGCAGCCCACGTGAGTATTTGCTACTGTGGACTCCTCAATGTGGGAGACTTACAGCTTTGATAGAGAGGAGTTCCGTCTGCCACTGTGCTCATTAAATGTGGAGTGAGGTTGGCAGTTCCTCAAGGACAGAGAAACTGACAAGATTTACCACACATACTCTCACTCAATAAGCAGACAAGAAAGGCTTGTGGTCATACTGAGCTGACATTTACAAAATCCCAGTCAGCCAACCACAAGAATTCTTACAGCACTTGAATAAAAACTTCAAGAAGGCTGCTTTTTAATGTCTCTTCTTACGGAATCTAGAATCTATTCTAATTACAAAATCTCTTGGTATGTGGTATTTTATTTTTTTAAATGTTGTCCCTTTTTTGGTGCAATCCAGTGAATACTATAGTGGAACATAAGGAGATTATCCTCAAGAAAAGTTCTTAACTGATTTATTGAGGTGAGTTTTGTTGTTGTTTTTCCTTCCAGTACTGAGAGCTCTTGCTTGTTCACAGCTGGCGTTCTACTACTTGAGCCACCTGGCTTCTTTTTATTTTCTGGTCTTGGGACTTGAACTGAGGGCCTAGGTACTGTCCCTGAGCCTCTGTGTTCAAGGCTAGTGCTGTACCACTTGAGCCACACCTCGACTTCCAGCTTTTCTGAGTAGTTTATTGGCGATAAGAGGCCCACAGACTTCTTGCCCAGGCTGACTTCAAACTGCGATCCTCAGATATCAGCCTCCTGAGTAGCTAGGATGACAGGTGTGAGCCATAAGCACTTGACAACCATCTGGTTTTTCTGCTGGTTAATTGGAGATAAGAATCTCATGGGCTTTTCAGCCCAAGATAGCTCCAAAACGCAATCTTTAAAATTTTACCCTCCCAAGTAGATAGGATAATAGGTGTGAACCACCAGCACCAGGGAATAATTAGAGATTTATTATTATTATTATTATTATTATTTTTAATCTAGAGCCAGGTATGAGAGAACATGCCTGTCATCTAGCAGTTGGAAGGCTGCAGCAGGAGGATCATGAGTTTAAGGCCAGCTGATGTTACATAGGGAGACCCTGTTACAAAGCAATCATTATTTAATTGAGAATCTACACTTTATTTTACCTTGACCTCTGTAATTGGTAATTAGGGGCATGATTTACTTCACATGGGATTGGCCTTAACCGCTCCTGCTCACCCTTCACTTCCACTGAGCCATAATGTGCTCTGAGTCCCTCACAGGCCATCCCTATCTGCCGCTGTTCCAGATCAGCTTCTCATCTGTTCTTGCGTAGACTGTACCACCGACCTGCTGTTGGACGTCTCCTGTCCAACCCTCCATATTGCCTCACATCTTTCTAATTGACTAATGGGATCATCCATGTCCTTGGCTTAAAATCCTACAGTGACCTTCACTGAAATTCCAGAATAATAAACTTTACCTTGCTCAGAGGATTCATAAAAAGCCTCTATTCAATGTCTGGCTCAGAACAGGCCCTCAGAATATGCAACACCCCTCCTCCCCCAACCTGAGAATCCATGACAGTAGCAGAGGGAGCTCTGGTGTGAGTCAGTCCAGGGCTAGAGGCCTAAGACTGCGGTGTAAAATCAGACTGAAAAGAGAAAGGACCCCAGAGCATCGCAGTCTCCGGAGCCATGGTTCTGCTTTCTTGAATCCCATGGAAGTTAGGCATAAGAGTATTAGTCCAACACCCAAGTCCATTAATGTTCCAGAAAGAAGACCACTTAAAAAGCTAAGCTGACTTGCCTGCCTGTGACTAAGCTTTTTTAACCTTAGAGTCAGAGAGGCAGCCTGTAAATGCATCAATCTCTCCCTGTCCCTTTGTGTTTGCTCTTCCGTTTCCTAGTGAGAATTCCTGTAACAGGTTTTACCTTTTTCTTAAATGAACCGAGGGGAAGAAGATCAGAGCTTTTGTTTGCACATTGGTAAAACAGAATGTCCTGAGGCACACTAGTGGCCAAAAATATAGCGAAAGGGATAAAGATGAACACATGAGCAGGAGAGGTGGAGTGTACAGTGCACACCATTGTCCTGTTCCAGACCCCAAGCAGACCTCTCCCTCATCTCACAGTCTGCAGACAGTGGGAGTCTGCCAAAAATCAAATATTGGGATGAACATAAAAATATAGGGTTAATACTATAAAAAAGAAGAATTGACATTGATTTAATGATAGTTCCCATTTTTAAAATTCAGTTTACTTTTTTCTTTTTACAAAATCCTGTTGAGTGTCAAATAAGGCAGGTGATATGTGCAGGTAGTTTCAGTTGCCATATGGAATATCTCAAATATGAGAAGAAGCAAATAAATCAAAGAAAATTACTTTGTATTAAAATTTGAATGTCTGCCAGCAATAGCATTTACACACACACACACACTCACAAACCCACACCACAAACAGTTCTTTAAAGTTTAAAGATTGTATATTCCTGTCTTCTGATAGTGTAATAAACTTAAGTCTCTCAATCTTTTTACGTAAGATGAAATAAAATAGTTTTATAGCATTTTAATCTTGATCCAACAGATGTGAAGAAAATAAAATATTTTAATGGAAAATAAAATGTAATTGATAACTTTGCTATTATTCCTGTTTAGGAAGGTAATTTATTATAGGCGAGTAGCCAAGAGGAATAAGAAATAGAACTTGTTTACTTCATTGTCTTGGCTTCCTTTGGCTTAATCAGATCTTACCTTATATTTTTATTACAGGTTTATTTCCCCCACTGCGTCACAGCAATGTCCTACGTTTTTGTAAATGATTCTTCTCAGACTAATGTGCCCTTGCTACAAGCCTGTATTGATGGTGACTTTAACTACTCCAAGCGGCTTTTGGAAAGTGGCTTTGACCCAAATATTCGTGATAGCAGGGGCAGGACAGGCCTTCACCTCGCCGCAGCCCGGGGGAATGTAGACATCTGCCAGCTGCTGCATAAATTTGGTGCTGATCTGCTGGCCACAGATTATCAGGGAAACACAGCTCTTCACCTCTGTGGCCATGTGGATACCATACAGTTTTTAGTTTCCAATGGACTGAAAATTGATATTTGGTAAGTTCTTTGTCGATTTTGAAATCTAGGTCTTTCTTCTCATTAGTCTTTCATTCTGTGATCTAATCTCTGAGACTACTCATTGTTTCCTCATTGATCAATTGAAATGACAAGTTCAGAAAGGCGTGGAAGACAGTGAAATCTTGTTAGGTGAGTGCAGGAGCTAGAGGCTGACTTCTAGATCTATGCTGAGTTAGTGCAATTCTTTCCTATAAGAATAGTAACTAGTTTAGTGTGAGACAATAAAGAAGCAAAGAACTAACATTTGTTGAAAATATACTTCAAGCTAGACCATGCTTACTTACGTTAGTTTATTTTATTCACACAGTAAATAGCTTTTACTATAGTTGTTGTCTTTATTTTATGCATGAGATCTTTGAGAAAGAAGTCACACAGTTAATAAGGGACAGAGCTAGAATTTGAACCTGGTTTCGCTGACTCCAGAGTTTGTGTGCCTTCTGCCACATAACAGGCCAATGTCATAATTTCTCTGGGGTCCAAAGTCCTTTATTGACTAAACAGTGTGAGGAAGTCATGGGGTTTTTTGTTTGATTTGGTGAGATCCAATTTCTTGAAAAATGTCACGCTACCTTTAAAATTGAGCTCAACCTATAAACAGCAGTTATATATTGCCTGGTTTATTGTCTCTAATGCCCCTGAGTCTGAAAAAGAAAGTAAGAGATTTGACTATTACAGGATAGAATGGGGCAGAAATTGACTGTAGGACTTGATATGAGGGGTTTTGTCCTGTTATGGATGCTAAGTAGCTAGGTAAACCGAAGCAATTTTCTTTTAAATTCTTAGATTTCTTTATTAAAGAGGGAATCTAGAACTAGATTTCTCTAATTAATCTCCATGATGGTCTTATTTTCCTTGCTTGCTATTATTTATTCATTCTTTGACCTTTTATTTTTTTTTTCCTGTCCCTGGAAAGAAAAGAAATACATTAATTCAAAAGTCAGCTTCTGGCTTGATTTTTGGCTCTGCTTCTACTTCTCGTTTTGTGCTATTGGTCCCATCCTCTCTTTGCTGAGATCTACACTAACAAGTATAATTGCTGTACACCTGCCATCATGACCTCTTTATGTTTGTGTTTGTTTTTAAGCAATCATCAAGGCGCTACCCCTTTAGTTCTGGCGAAGCGCAGGGGCGTGAATAAAGATGTTATCCGATTGCTAGAATCCCTGGAAGAGCAGGAGGTAAAAGGATTTAACAGAGGAACCCACTCAAAACTGGAGACTATGCAAACAGCTGAGAGTGAAAGGTACTCAAGATATTATTTTTAAGGGTATACATACATGAATTTTTATTTTAAAATGAAAATACTCGTTTTCAGAATATTCTAGATTAAATATATTCAAAATGTAAACCCACTTTTAAGAGTGAGATATCATCTTATTCATGGTAGACTAATTGTTAGAACATAGACAAAAATAACAAATGCTGGCAAAATATAGAAGTAAAAATCTTTTAAACATTGTGGGATTAAAGATTACTAAGTTCATTATAGAGAATTAGTAAGTCCATTATAGAGAACTTACTCAAAACTGAAATTAGATATATGATACAGCAAACTCATATCTGGGTATATACCCCAAGAAAATGAAATAAAAATATCAAAGAGATAACTACATACCCTTGTTTACTACTTACTACATTATTCTAAATGGTTGAGACATATATATTCTTCTGGGTTTTTTTCCCTTTACACCACTTTATTCTTTTTTAAATATATATTTTTTATTGTAAAGATACTGTATAGAGGGGTTAGTTACATGAGTAAGGTAATGAGTCCATTTCCTATGGAGCATTGTTACCCCCTCCTTTGTTTTTCCTCTACCATCCCTTTCCTCCCCACCTCTCCAACTTCTCTCCCCCACTCAAAATTGTAAAGTTCATTTTCAACATAGTGTCTTATTCAAGATACTATTTTTGAAGGGGCAGGCCACTAAGTACTTGAATATTTTGTGGTTACCTTGGAAACTTTTTATTCCTTTGTTCTTAAGTGCAAGGTTTTGATACTGTCTTTGAATTCCATTAAAGGTCTCTAGGGTTCCAGATTACAGTTGGGAAACTATTGACAGAAGTACTGTGTGAGCACAGGCACGTAGTACTGTTAGTCTTCCGCTGTACAGCAGGAGAGGGAGTTACCCTCTGAATATGAGGGAAGGAACAGGGCTTGAGAAGTTTAAGTACAGGTCACAGAAAAGATGGAATTGCAGAAAAGGAGGGAAATGACTGAGAAATCAGATAATACTAGGAAGATGGAAAAAGTGGTTGCAAGGGTAGAAAACTATAATGTTGGGAAATAAACACAAGAAGCGAAGCTAAGAGTACCATATGAGTGAAATCACTCATTGAAAATGACTTTCACATCAAGTTGAACTAGTGAAATTTAGGCTCTTAAATATTTTATCACTTTCATCTGGAAGCAGCAGAGAAAACACTTTAGAGGGCTCCAGAAAGGTGCCAGCTATCTTTTCTCCTGGCTTCTCTGGCTCAACAGGTAAAGTCAGTAGGGCTGACCTACTTTGTCATAGCATAGAATTTGGTGGCCTGCCATGGACTTTGAGCCTCCAAGTTATGCAGTGAGATGAGAAGCATGATGAACTTACCGTGAATAGTAGAATATAGATGAAAGAAACAAGGATCCACATGAGCTGTTAATCAAGCATCGGGGAGATCAGGACTCAGATTTAGGATCATGTAGACCACTGGATCGTTAGTTCTGTGAATTTGAAATGGAATGGCTTTTATAGCTCACCTTTCATCTGATTCCTTTGTTCTGGTGAGAGCCTTCCTTCTTCATGTGCTGGTTGGTGTATTCCTGAGCACCAAGCTTAGGGCTTGAGCTGGCTCCCCTTCAAGCTTAGATTTGTTTTGCTTAGCTACTTTAAAGCACTTATATTATCTTAAGCAGATGGAAGGGTTTTACTCTAAAATGGTGCATTCTTCTTAGGACTTAGGATTGGGAGCTGGCAAATACATGAAGTAAATAGAAATCAGACTCATCCGCAAACCTTTCCTCCCACCTGTGTATAATCAGGCTTCTGACCAACAGTCAGAGAGCCACAGGCAATTGAACATCTTGGAGTTAACTCTTCTTCGTAAAGACTATGCTCCTTCAAAACAACTTGTTTTCATCTTTCTATCAAATTATGTGAACTTACTTTAAGTTTTGTGTTTGTGTGTGTGTGTATACTTGTACTCAGGTACTTATGCCCTTACCTCAGCCTTTTTACTCATGATTGGCCCTTTGCCACTTGAACTATCCCTCAAATTCTGGCTTTTTCTTAGGTAATTGAGGATAAGAGTCTTACAGATTTGTCAACTTGGGCTGGTTTCACACCTCAGTCCTCAGATATCAACCTCCTGAGTAGCTAGTATCACAGGTGTGAGCCAATGACAGTCAGCTACTCTAAGCCTCCTTTTTGTTTGAACTATGAAAAATGTTCAAGAATGTGTTTTTTCTTAGTGTAGTTTGGAGACTTACTTTGTTAATAGCCAGTTTCTTGATCCCTCTTTTATCAGAAATATACTTTTGCTATGTTTCAGTCATGCTTACTTATTAGCTAAAAAGTGACTCCTTGTTTGAGTAGTCCAGTATCAAGTATTTATTATTCCTACTTTTTTCCCACATACTTATCATTTCACTTCAACATGAAATTTTTTTTGCTTATAGCTTTGTATGAAGCCACTTCTTCAAAAATTCAATTACTGGAGTTGGAGATCTGGCTCAGGTGGTAGAGGTAGAGTGTTAATTAGCCACTGAACGAAAGCATCAGACATGGAATTTGGTTCTGGTCTTGGACAAAAAATAAAATAGATTATTAATGCATCTATTACCTGGTTTTCTGATCTTGATGTTACCCGTTAGTGTCATGGTTCAGCATAGTAGATGATGCTTAAATTAAATTTAAAGACATCTTTAAGAAAACCCAAACCAAATGGATTATCACTTCACAGATAGTAGGATAGCTGTAATCCAAAAGATAGGATGAGAATGTGGCTTGGTCATGGAGCCTTTGCCTGACATGCATGAGGCTCTGAATTTAATCCCCAGCATTGCAAGTGGAAAAAAACAACAAAACAATGACAAAAAAGACAGATAGCAAGACCCTCAACCATTGCTGGAGGATATAATGCAGTGCAGCCATTTTGGAAAACAGCCTGACATTTCCTCCAAAGGTTACACATGGAGCCACCATCTGACCCACAATTTTATTTCTAGGTACACACCAAACAAAACTGAAACACTGTGTTCACACGAAGACTTCTGCCCAGATGTTCACAGGACCATTGTTCATATAGTCCAGACGTGGAAACTGCCCAAATGTCCATCGGCTAGTGAAAGAATTGACAATATCATCTGTTCATGAAGTGGAATATTATTCCACCTTAAAAGGGCTGAAATACTGATGGATATTGAAAACATGCCACATGAGAGAAGCCAGTCTCAAAATGCCACACAATTGTACTTATGAAGGTCCAGAGTAGGCAAATTGAGAAACAAAGTAGATACAGAGGTTTCTGGTGGGGGGGGGGGAATGCATGGGGCAGAGGAGTGCCTTATGGTATAGACTTTCTTATAAGAGATGATAAAAGTGTGTTGGAATTAGTGGAGCTGGCTTACAACTTTATGATCACTAAAACCCACTACATTTCATAGTATAGAAAGATCAGTTTTATGACATGGATCATATCCATAAAACAAGTAGAGCAAAAACCATAAAGGGCTTGGTTAGCACATGGCATGGCTTAACTGTGTGACGGGCTTTTACAGAGCAGAAGATAAGGCAAGGTCTTCAATGACTGAGCTACAATGCTTTCCTTAGAATTCCCCAAGTTGTAGCATAATTTCTGTGTGAAAAATATTTCCCCACTCCTGCATGTTATCTTAAGTTCAATTTAGCTTTTTAAAAAAATTATGTCGACATGGGATGATAAAGACAGTGAGGATAATACAGGTTTAATACACATACCCAGAAGCACCCCCACCGCTACCTCTAAACCGGAGTCAGCTGTGCCCTGAACAATAGGAAGTGTTTTACTGGATGAAATTGCTGTCCAGAATTTTGATTAGCAGAGCTCATAAAGCTCCTAGAGAATGCTTGCGGAATTCTTGTTTTATACCTATCATCTGAATGTACTGAGAGCATGTCAGCATTGCAGAGTCAGTACATTTCATACAGCTCAAAAGAAACCTGTCTTGCACCCCCGTATTTACAGTTTCACTTACCATCTATCTTATTCTGGACTTTTCTATATTATTGTATATTGCCACATTATTCTCTTACTCAGAAAATAGACATTTTTTAGTGTGAAAAGAACATGGATGTTAATTTCATTGTGCACACCGAAGGTTGGAGGAAAATGAAGAGGTTTCAGAAGGGTGGTAATGAGCTTGTATAACCAATGGATGGTTGATACATATGATTATGGTCTTTGTGGCTTTAATTTAAATGATACCCTATTGTTGGACCTGCCTGTTGTGACATAACTGAGTGCTAATCCCGTAAAGCTTCCAGTCTATGACCATGTGTCCTTCCAAATACCCAAGTCAGACATCTTATTTGTCTCTTTCTGGTGGTTATAATTCTATTGATAATGTTCGGAAAACCAAAATCATCATCTTATAATGTTTATACTACTATATTTTCAGCTAGATTTAGTCTTTATGCAGAAAAGAAATAACTCATTCTGAATTATTGTATAACAGAAATAAAGCCAGTAGGAGAAAACTCTTTAGAATTCTCAATGTCTAGACCAGTCCATGTGTACAATGAATGAGGAATAAGCTTCCACTATACTTAAAGAATCCCTCAGATTATTAAATTTATAAAAATTCCTCTTTTACGTCTACATTTTTTTAATGATTTCTAAAATGTACACCTGTTTTCATTTATATGAATTCTTGAATTTTATTTTGAATCTCCTAAGTTTAAAATAAAATATATTTGGCTTAGTATATTGACAGAAACCGCTCATTTGACCTATTTTAAAACTTCTGTGTGGGGCTTCTTGTGTACCATTTTTAATTCTAATTTGACTGCTGGATACTAAATGAAGGTCCATCATTATTATTGTTTTATCAGTTTATTGTTTAAGGTAGATTGTCCCATTACCTGTGGATCTCTAAATGGGCACCTGGGTGAGTGAGAGCATCATTACAAGCTAGTTTTCTTCTTGTAAGTGTTGCATTGTAAGATCAGCCTTTTCTAAGTAATATAACGGCTCTCGTTTCATGGTTTTGAAGTGGTAAAGTATGCCCTTTCACGTCCTTCTCTTCTCTCTCTCCTACAGTGCCATGGAAAGCCATTCTCTACTCAATCCCAACCTACAACAAGGTGAAGGAGTTCTTTCCAGCTTTCGAACCACATGGCAGGAGTTTGTAGAGGATCTGGGCTTCTGGAGGGTCTTGCTTTTGATCTTCGTCATTGCTTTGCTGTCTCTGGGCATTGCTTACTATGTTAGTGGGGTGCTGCCCTTTGTGGAAAACCAGCCTGAACTGGTACATTGAAGGAGTTCATGCGAGATGAAGAAAAGACCTGTTTCCTGGCTCCCAAAATTAGTTCTGTTTCTCAGAATTTTTCTTAGTTTAAGGCAGTGAGGACTGTACATTTTTGTTTTTGCATTTTTATTTACTATGACCCTGTGTAAAAGAGGGTTTTTCATTTGAACTTCAAGTGTGAGTCAAGTTTATAGTCAAGTATACTGCATCCTCATTTTACCTCTGGAGGAAAGTTCCCGTAGCCTTGCTTGATGTAATTGTAGTAACCAGTAGCTGAAGAGTAGTGACCATACCCTAATGTAAGACCAGTTGACATACCCAAAAAACAAAGGAGTTTCTTGGATGATTCAGGTTTGGTTTTAGTTTTGTTCAATTTTTGCAAGAACCTCTTTTCTTTCTTTATTTACTTTCTATATAGCAAATTAGTATCATTAAACTATTTGGTTTGTTCTAATATTAATAATTTAATTAAATATTTCTTTTTGTCAGTTGTGGAGCTTGAACTCAGAGCCTGGGCACTGTCCCTGAGCTTTTTTCTTGCTCCAGTCTAGCGCTCTACCATTTTGAGCTACCATGCCACTTCTGGTTTTCAATTGGAGATACGAGTTTCACAGACTTTCCTGCCTGGGCTGACTTCATACTTAGATCCTTAAATCTCAACCTTCTTATAGGCACGAGCCACTGGTGCCCGGCAATCATTTAATGTTCTAATATTTTCTAATTGAGGCACAAACCCTTTGAAAATAAGCTATTTTTTGTAGTTTTAGGGTAATTTTGACTTGTTGCAAACTGCTTTGTTAGTATCTGTGAAAAATCAGCTGAGAAGTTTGCTTCAGTCACTTCTAGGAGGCATCCTATTCATCAAAAATAGTCAGGAAAATACTTTTTGTACTGAATAGTTTGCAGGGAAAAATCATTCTGATATTTAACCGTCAGCTTAATTCTTCAGTACTATTGCAGTTCAAGAATCAGTTCTCTAAGCTGGCTGTGTTGTCACAGCTTCATCTTATTTATTTCATGTGCAGCCCTGCTGAGAGGCTGGAAGAGCTTCTGCCCGTGCATATTAGTAATCTTTGACAGCAGGAGTGGTTGAAGTGTTTTTGAGCTACCTGCCTGAGCAGCACTGTGCTGGGTATCATAAACTCTACAAATGGTAACATTATGTAAGTTGGAATCTGGCCCCAAACTGTACTGCACCTCTCAGCAGTGTGCTTGAAGGCCTTTTTGTTAATGACTCTATCATGTATAAATCGTGTTCTTAGGTTATTAGAAAAGAATATTTAAGCTTAATAATTGTTCGTTGAATAAAGTCTGAAAATTAGAGTGAAAATTTGTGTTTTTTTAGAACAAAGTCATCTAAACCACTGCTAATAGGTTTGTTGCTAGAATTAGAAATCATAGAGTACAAGTGGTATTTCTGTGATTCTTTTTTGCTTCTTGATCTTTTTCTCCTTTGTATCTAGTGTCTGATACTGAGGCTTTTTTCTTCCATGTGGTTTTATTGTATCTTAAAGAGATGTTTTAAGGTATCTGACTACACTGCTTCAGGGTCAGCTTGCATAGTCTTGCTTTTGGGTTAAATGCACAAAATCAATCATGCTTGGTGTGAATACAGAATGAATAAGTGAATAAACAAATATATATGGTTTTAGAGTGGAGAACACTGGGACAGAAGTTCAAAGTACGCTTTGTAATTAGCTTTGTAAATCTAAACAGATGCATGATTGGCCATTTTTTTAAAGATTAGTTTTTCCTTTAAATTCTTTTTTTTTGGGGGGGGGGTCCAGTCATGGGGCCTGAACTCTGGGCCTGGGCGCTGTCCCTCAGCTCTTCAGCTCAAGGCTAGCGCTCTACCACTTGAGCCACGGCGCCACTTCCAGCTTTTTTCTTTTTGCTTATGTGGTGCTGAGAAATTGAACCTAGGGCCTCATGCCTGCAAGGCAAGTGCTCTACCACTGAGCCACCTTCCCAGCCCTAAATTCTTATTTCTTTGTATTTTATTCTCTGCATTCATCATTCAGTAATATCACCAATAAATGTATTTATAAATCCTTAATCACAATCTATTTCCTTAGTGTATTTTTTTGATGGTACTAGGATTTGAACTCAGGGCCTTGTATACTTTCTAGTAAGGTACTCTACCACTTGAGTATGCTACCACCTAGCCCTTTTTTGCTCTGGTTATTTTTGAGATAGATTCTCAGCCTTTGCCCTGATTGGCCTATACCACAAACCTGTTTATACTTCCCATTGTAGCTAGGATGATAGCAATGCATCACTCCGCCTGGATTTTTCTACTGAGATGAGGGCTGATGAAGTGGAGCCACCTCAGCCTCCCCATCTTAGTCACGCTGCCTACCTGTTGGCTGAAGATGCCGTCTCACAAACTTTTTGCCCTGGCCTATCTAGGAGCAACTGCTGCTCAACAACTAGAATTACAGTGCTGAGCCACTGCTGCCTGGCTCTTAATGCCTTTTAATTTCAGGATTTATAATGGATTACAGTTGACTATTTTAAAAAAAAATCCAACTTTGATGTAATAGATACACAGATTTGCATATGTGAGTGCCTCACAAATACTGTGAACCTAATTTGGGTGAATTGTTTTTGTAGATTTAAAAGTGCCACCACGTATTGTGGTTAAGCACCTCCCAATTAGGCAAGTCACTAACAAGCCTCTCTCATTGCATCCTTGCATGGCCTAGGGCATGCCTGTCCCTATTTTATAAAATGAGAAAGAAAACTGACATGGGCACAGGGAGGGATCAGTGACTCATCACACAGGTAGGCTGAGGAGGGGTGTTTTCAGGTCGAGGCTCTCCCCCCAGTTACGTTTGCTCTTTCCTCCCTCCCCGCTGTTTGTCACGAAATTGGCCGTGGTACTCTATCTAGAGCTTCGCCAGCTGCCTTCTCAGCAGGCATTACTGAATCTTCCATTCCTGTCCCGATGGTCTTTCCTCTTCCTTTATTGTACCATGTTTACACATTTCCCCTTAGTAGAACCCTTCACGTTCAAGCTCAAACTCTGGCATGTTCAGACCTTCCCTAGTTGATTGTGGACTGCCCCCTTGTTTCTGCCACTTTATACAAACTCTCTGATTCTATTCATTTTACAGTTCTTGATGTGTTTCTGCACAAGCTTGTAATTTATTTGTCTCTAATGAGAAGCTTCATGAAAGCAGGGCCTTAGCATCTATTTTTACAGCTGCAACTATCTGTCAAAAGTGCATCGTGTACGCTCTTTGGACATAAACACTGATAGCATCACTTGCTTACCTGTGACTGCATTTTAAAAGTTTCAGATTAAATAGCTTTTTGTTTTCATGTATTGTCCCCTGGCCAGCTGCATGGGTGCATGTGTGTTGGTCTGTGTCACACAGCACGTTGGCCATTAGGTGGATAAACGGTTTAGGCTGGTACCATGTTGCTCCTTTTTTAAGTCACACACAGGTTTCCACCAGCATCTCCTGCCTCAACTTCACCGCTCAGTGTAGAAGCCCAGGAGCAATAGCCACCTTTTCTTGTTACTTCAGTTTTGGTTTTTGTTTAAAATTGGCCTCTGCCTTTGACTTGTGAAATTTTTTTATATATGTATCAAAGTACTTACAGCTGCAGGAACCAATTCCAAATCAAAGCAGCTTCAACCACAGAAAATGTATCAGTTTATGTCATTGAAGTCCAACAGTAAGGTAGAGACTCCTAAGGGTGTACTCCAAGGACTTTAGTGTTCCCAGGCTTTGGACTCTGCCATCCTGTCATCTGCATTTCCCATCTAGTTCTGAAAATGTTCAGGCATTATATCCACATAAAACCATGTAAAGAAGAATCCATTTCCCCAGGAGGCTTTGCTGTGAAACCTCTAGCAAAACTTTTGTTGGCATTACATTACGTACCATTTCTCAACCACCCAGTTCTGTGGACCAGTTGGCTTAGGCCAGGATTGCAGGGTTAGTGAGCTAGTTATTGGTGGGGGTGGTAGCGTTCATGACTACTTGGACCGGTGGTTTTGAAAGAAATTGGCAGTAGGCAGAGATCATAGATGTTTTATGTCCCACAGCACTTGGGGACAGCTCAGTACAACAAAGAATTGTTCCTCATCCCACATGATTCTTGAGTGTTCTGCTGGACATTCATGTATTAAGAAAAAAAATTCACCAGGCTCCAGTGGCTCATGCCTGCAATCCTAGCTAATTAGGCAGAGACTGGAAGGATTACTGTTCCAGGTCAGCCCTGGCAGAAAAAAATTGGGGAGACTCAAAAATTACCAGCAAAAATATGGCTGGAGACATGTCTAAAGTGATAGAGCACCAACCTATCAAGTGTGAGGATCTGAGTTCAAACTCCAGTACTGCCCAAAAGAAAAAAACCTTTTGCAGTTATCTAAAACTAATCTCCATTTTACTTTTTTTTTTTTTTTTGACCAGTCCTGAGGCTTGAACTCAAGCCCTGGGTGCTATCCCCGAGCTTCTTTTGCTCAAGGCTAGTGCTCTATAACTTGAGCCACAGCTCCACTTGCAGCTTTTTTGGTAATTTATGGGAGATAAGAGTCTCACAGACTTTTCTGTCTTAGCTTGCTTTGAACCGTGATCTTCAGATCTCCACCTCTAGAGTAGCTAGGATTACAGACATGAGCCACCGGCACCTGGCTCCATGTTTCATTTTAAAACAAGATAAGTTTTGGTATAATTTTAATGTACCATGAATTTTCTAAGAGTAAAAGCACCAGATAGTTAAGGAAAGAGTTCAAGAATTCTACCTGTTTTAATCAGTTGCAATACTACTAATGGTAAGAAAGTCACCACATCACTGTATTACAGGCATGGATGACTTTTTCTAACACAGTACCTAAGCATTCACGACGTGTAATACACATGTCCCTTTTTCTGCCTATATATCATATGCTTTGTGTGAAATGATCATATTGATTTCAAAAATGACCCTCCCTTTTATCTGGGTCCCATGCTTATCTTATTTAGTCATCATGGTGTCCTTTACCAAGTAGTTTACCTTGGAGGCTATACCAGGAAATAGTTTTCCCCAAAGTTAATAGAATACTGAGAGGAAAGAGGCCAGCATCTGGTTAAACTGCCCTTTAAGATTGTTCAGGCTGCACCCCATTCCTTTGTGTCTTAGAGTGGATTCCAATCAAGTTCTCTAGGAGGATGTTGGTCTTGCCATGGATACCTTTCCATGGCATCCCTCAAAGTACACAGGCCGTCCTGGACTTCCCACATCACAACTGACAGCCACAGCCCAAGTCCCAGGGGTCACCATTCACCACACTCAAGGACTGTGATCTGGAGTTTCTCCTTACCTAGAATTCATCCAAAACTTAGCTGATAACACTATTTAGAGATGCTGCTTGGAGAATATGAAAATTAGCATCGTCCAATAAAAACTTGCAGTGGCAGTATTTTCTATCTGTGCTGCTCAGTGTAGTAGTCACTTACCACTTTTGGCCATTTAAAATGAAATACAAGTTCAATTTTTTTATTCACATGAATCACATATTTAGTGATTAGT